ATGACTAAGCGAATTATTTTAATTTATACTTATTTTATTTCTCTTGGCTATTTTAAGAAAATCGCTTGCGTTCACCTGTTACAATAAAAAATCAAAATGTTTGTTTTTCTTGAAAGCATCTAAATATACTATAATTAATAAATATAAAATAGACCTGATGAATTACTAATCTGCTAAAAACAAATTCAACGCAAAAGAATATTCAGTGGGACACACATAATAGATACTGATATTTATTTCAAGACCAAAAAATAGGCTTACCTTCGGCGGAAACCGTGAAATGAATATATAATGCATGCTATGTTCCCTCTTTCGAGATGTCAATATTAAGCATACATAGCATTCAATGGATGCCGTACTAGGTGGATCACCACCTTTTCATAGTCACTGAAGTAGGTACCGAAAACCAGTCAACTAATATCCAGATCATAGAGTCTAAATTGAGAGGCAATTAAAACCCATTCCGCGTCCCTGAGTGCTTTTGTTATCACATGACAGATGTCTAGATAAGTCCCATGTTTCAGCCATAGCAGCCGCTAAGCGTTTATAACACATCAAATCGCTCATTGAAAATGAAAATGTAAACTGTTTTTGTTTGCGTTTTATTTCAAAATAAAATGTCGTTTTAAACTTCAGTTATGATTTTCCGGTTTTTTGATTTCCGAGTGATTCGATTATACGAATATTAGCGCGCGCTCTGGAATCGACCGGGCATACCGGCGCGCCACTGAGCGTTCTCGCGAGGCTCCCGGCCGCCGCGGACGCGCGCATGCGTCCACTGGCTTGTAACCCACGCCTACTTCTCTGCCTCCAAACCGTCCGCGATACATCGCGTGCTCTCTCCACCGCTCGCTCCTCTCCGCATCCGACAAACGAAACGATGTACACCGAGCCAGGTTGTTATCACACGCTTGTGTTGAGAAGCGACCACAATACGCGGCCGGTGATACCGCGAGGATCACTAAATGACGTCATGAGTTCGCAACACCTAAAATGACCGTTAAATCAGCTTTATTGTGATGTGTCAAAACATAACTGTAAATTACATACATACTTACTTTGACGAAATAGTTTCACTCAGGTAAGTAGGTACTAAACATTTTAGCCATGGAAGGGATTGTATAAAATATCCACAGTCTATCTATGCAGCCCCCAAAAAGCTAACTGCACGGTGTGGTGAATAGCTGTAAAAATATTGATAAGATGGAATTAAGCAAACCGATCAAAACAAAAGACAATACAACTAAGTAGTATTCATACTTACAATTACTTTTTATACTATTGGACATAGAAGATTACAATGTTTGTTGGGAGCGAGCTTTCTCACTCATAGCTCTACCAACTGGTTTAGTAGTTTAATCAAGTCCGCATCTTAACAACATAGACACATTACCATACCTTCAGTTATAAAGGTAATCTACGTACAAAGTGCGCTCAAGCACCGCACACAGAGACACCGCTCACCGACACGATATCTCGAACCAATTCAGACCACTGCAAGTGCGAGTGTCATCCGTATGAGACAAGCATCTGTGAACTTTTTTATGCAAAAATAAAGGGACAAAAAAGTTAATATATCTGATCAGTAGACGGTTGTTTGAATTCAACATTATTGACATTTTTTTTAATTTGTAACTAATATAACAACAACAACATTTAAATTTAGTTAGATATTATTGGATTATATTTCCGTTCCTTCTTTTTCATTCTCGGCAATAAATCATACAACTAGATTCGACGTTCACTACCGCGATAGTTTTTTGTGCATACGCCAATGTTGACAATCCTAGCGCGACCGCCGGGCGTAGGTATGCAAAATTGAAGTACATACATGAGATTCCCTTCTGTTATATGTATTTTGTGGCATCTTCTTCGGACTTTATTTGACATGGTTTTATCTATAAAAGTTTTAGAAACATCGATACAACTCTCTTAATAACGTTCATAGTTCATTTGGGTAAAGCTTACCTCGTAGTGAGACCAATGGACAAGAAATCTGCAAAATTTTCTCACTAGGGGCGCTGTAATCGCTTGACCCAAAACTTCTATCAAATACATACCTATTAGCTAATATTAATTTTAAAGCTTTTTATTAAGCAAATAACAAATGCCGCGTTGTGCAATTCCTGATTGTTGTTTCTCACAACTGCATGCTCCTTCTTCTTATAATTTTATATGTTGCTTTGAAGGGGGGGGGGGGGGGGGGGGGGGATAAACTGAGCTGCTGTTTACACCATGGTATGTATCTGGAACTGGTAATTGCATCTCGATGTCTTCATTTTGATCAGAAAAAATGCACCAAAATTAAAATTGCGGTCATATGCCCCAAGTCTGTAAACTTACTTATATTACTTCCCATTTTAGCCAGAGGTAACCTAACTCTATGTGATGTCTGTCTGATGCAAAAATATCATAGATTTGACTAATGAGCCCGCTAAAAGTTACTGCGATCCATGAACTATTAAAATAATCATGAAAAATGCATCTATGTACCGAGAATGAGTATTCTAGCAATTATGCTAGAATACTCATTCTCTCTTATTATTAAATAGGAGTGCCTTTCTACTAAATCAGCTTTTCTGCCTTGCACAGATGCTCCTCTCCTTTTCAAATCTGTTTTCAGCTGTATTACAGACCATGTTGAATACACTTTTACCACTTAATTAATATTTTTAACAACAAAAAAAAACACGTTTAAACTTTGACAGCTGCAATATTCGGCTGTGGTTTGGGTCAAGCGTTTGCAGCGCCACCTATGTCGAGCTTAACGTATACTTCTCCATTGAAAATGTGTAGCACCAAGGATTAAAGAAAAACCCAGGGGTTAAAAATCATTAAAAAAACGAACTCCACTTATTTCTGGACAAATTATGAGAGAAAGGTCTGAAGAAGATAAAATCTCTCAATACTTTTTTCTGTGATGTAAATTCTTGAAAGTAACTCGTTGAACAAATCACCGATTACTCCTAAAGTCATATTCTCAATCTCCAAAAGCATAACCTCAGGGAAGTTAACCCGTGGGGGGTTAGCTTAGGGTTTTTTTCCACATTGTTCCAGAGTTTTATTTGAAAAAACCAAAATTTTAAGCAACTACGAAAAAAAATATTTTTTTATAATAGCCCCCTCACTTTTAGTAATCAATATTTTGTTGGTTGTTCCAGATTGTTCAAGTTATTCTTATCAATGTTCCACAGTCTCATTAGAAAAAACAAAAATTTGGAGCCACCAGGTAAAAAAAACGTTTTTTGGTAGCCCCCCATTTTCGGAAATTCATTATTTTGTGCCCACTGCTGTGGCACCGGTAGATACTTGAAATATTCACAGATACTAATTATGTATTCGCTTTACAAATAAATATTTAAAATATTATACATTTTTAAAGAGGGGCTTCCATACAGATGTGGTTTTTTTGGCGTTTTTTCTCGATATTATAATACTGTCTATTGTTGTATAGATAATGAACGGAACCCTTAGTGCACTAATCCTATTCGCACATGGCCGATTTTTAATTTTATTTATTAATCAATTGACGACGGAAATAAACGCACTCTAATATTTAAAAAACGGGCACGTCCAGAATTTTGAACCTACCCAGCATACACTTAATTTCGGTATTGGGTGCGGCGCAAAATCTTTATTGTGGCGTTTACAACATTTCTAAAGAAGAGCCCTTTTTATTGCGGCAATAAATGAAACCATAAAAGGGATCAAACCCTATTGTATTTTAATCGATTCACAGATCGAAAACAAGAGAAACACTGGAATATTCAATTAGTATGAATAACAAAATCCTCGAGTTACCACAAAACATAATTATGTATTTGATGAGATCAGTCAAGGCCTAACGCGGTGTCTGGACCCTTCCAACGCTTTTATTATACATGAAACACGAAAATGTAAATCTTCGTTTAAGTATTTATGAAGTTCTCATGTTTTTTATATTTTACGCGTTTTGTTTGACCTCCATTAATTATCCTTTGGTAGTATGATGAGATATTTTTTTATATCTACTACCTACCTACATAAAACGCAATCTCTTCTGGAAAAACTTCTCTTTGTATTTATCGCCTTCTGTCACAATATATGACACTACTTAATTTAATATTATTCAATATTAAGTATTTAACTGTTACATTATGTAGATGTCATATCCGAAGAAAGGCTGTCATTCACCCTCGGATCTGCCTAGCAGACGAAAAGTAAAAATCAACAAATGGCGATTTCGTTGCGTATATAAAAATTGTTCCTGACTATTTTTAATAAAAAAAGAAAAAAAAATACTAGATTTTATTTATTGGCAAAAAAAGTTAAAAGCACTTAAATTCTGATTATAAATTTGCGTTACCGTCAAAATTTAACACGCTGTTATTTAAAAAATTTGACTAAATATACCTCTATTTAAAAAAGTATATTTCTAATCAGAATTAAATTATTTTAAACCTTTTAACTCTTTTTATAAGTAATGAATAAATCTGGTTTTAAGAAAATGCTTTTACTTCTTTTCATTAAAAAAAGTCATATTTTTTTAGCTTTAATATTATTGATTGCGATTTGTTTTCTTTTTTAAAAATTCTTAATGAAACCATACTTTTCGTCTGGTAAGCAGATGTGTGAAGGACGACCTCTCTTCGGATTTTAGACTAATCTAAGATGTTTTACTAGAAAAAATCCTCTGTTAGGCTAGGTATATTGATATACTAATAATATCAAGTTTATACAAAACTTAGGTAACTTCACTTTTTTTTTTGTTATGTTTTGTATAAAATTTTGAGATAGTGACATTGTTAGGTCAAATATTTACATTAAGCAACAAAATTTAAAAATTCTTTATTATTTTTATTTATCAACGATTTACAATTTATAACATATCCTTACTTTTGACATATTTAACAATAATTGATCTCAGACCTTCATTTACAACTTATACATTATCGGTAACATCATTAATGGCATAGGAAGACGGTGTGTGTTCACTATTTTAGTAGCACTTTCCAGCACTGCTACAAGCAGACAATCCGTTCGGTAAAAGCTCCTATGATCGTCATGTCGGAGGCCAAGGCGGCGCGCATCGTCTGCACCCCCACAGAGTCCTTCACCCGCAGAGTAAACTCCTTGCGAGCGGGCGCCGGTAACGCACCGCCCGCCGCACTTAACACCCTAGTTCTTCCAGCCACATCCAACGCCTCACCTTCAGTCCCATCTCCGAACACCGTACGTACGCACAAACACCTGCACGCTTCCCGCTCCGCATCGTATATTTCACGCGCGGCCACTTCAAACGTGCGCCGCTTATCCACACCACCGACAGTAATGTTTCCCCGAGGCGCGCCCTCCTCGTGGCACTTTGCCGCTCCCGCTCGTAATATGGCCGGCAGCAGCAGTTCACCCACAGCGCTCACTGTCCGAGAACGAAAGAAATGCAACACCTGTTGCGCCTCTCGTGTTTCATCAAAAAGCCTCCTCTGCCGCGCAGCTGGTACCGGCCGCGCGACACTCCAAGTTTCAGCCCAGGGATTGCCGGGTAGAAGCATTCGAGCCCCCAATACGCCACCATAGTCTGGAAGCCAGTCTCTAGGGGAGTACCATTGCACAAAATCGCACAGCTCGGCACCAGGGTTGGCGGCTTTGAACGCCTCCATGTCAGAAAGTAGGGAAGCACTCATCATCCTTGCACGAAGTTCGGAAGCTCTAGCGTCATCCCCTAAGCGCACCATTAATTCAGCGTCTTCTTCTAGCTGGTCTTCTGTCTTCGGAGCAGGATCCTAGGTGATAAGTAATCCGGATTAATATAGCACACTTGATAATTTTTTTGAGACTTCTGCTATACCATTGACCATTCGCCTATCGGAAATGCTTTGGAAAACGCTAACGCTTACGATTTCATTTTATTATTTCTAGCCGCCTGAGATTTTCAAATGCCTCGCGCTCTTTTTTTTCTTTTGCATTGGTAATAACAATATTAAAGAAAATGAGCGTGAGGAGGTATTTGAATACCTTCGGCGGTCAGGAATAACAAAATGAAATCAAAAGCGTTAGCGTTTTCCAAAGCATTTACTTTAGGCGAATGGCCCCCTGGTTGCAAAAAAAAATATAAATAAACACGAATAAATATTCTAACGATACCTAAGCAAAGCAGCAAAAATGTTTCTTAAGCGCCTGATTGTGTAGACGTAGACTTCAGACTCATCAGAAAAAGTAACTTTCTTTGCTTTCCATTTATGCGTTACATTAGGCATGCATAATTGATTATCGCGTTGGCGCGTGCTCTAAATGCTTACCTGAGTTTGCGGGACGTAAAGGGGTGATCCATTTTTAAGTTTGGCGTTTTCAAGGCGATGTTGTCTTCCTACGGGTCGATCCCAGGGAGGAAGGGTGTCTTCAGCGTCATCATCTTCGGAACAGTCGTAGAACTCTTCTTCGGAAGAGTTGCCAGCCTGGTTCACAGACTCGTCTACCCGCTTTATGCAGCAATTAAGCAACTGCAGCTTCTGATGCAGTAGACATGTGCGTGCATTGGGAGCGCCGTCAGCGACACTGAAAAAGAAAATTAAGCTAAACATCGTGAATTGAGCAATGCCCTTTCATTACTATGGACTTTGAAGCTATATTATAAAAAAAATATAAAAAATATGAATTAGTTGATAATTTCCTAAAATCAATATTCTCAAAATATCTACAAAACGCTCGCTCATGTTAAGGTTTTAAGTTAGGTAGCAAAACAAATATTTTCGGATCTCCTTTTACTAAAACTATGAGACATCCTTTCTTGCCATAATTCATGACCATGAGTCGAACCATGTAGTTTTTTAAATATAAAAAAGAGCAAACCTACATCGTGATAATATGACCCATAAGCGGCCATGAAAGCCAAAACTTGAGTACACCTAAACACCACCCAAAGGTAGTGATAAGTAATGCTTTTAGTAGTTTTCTAGAAGAATCTGGTGGGGGTAACAAACACGTTGCGGAGAAAATTGTCTCTTTAGAAGAAAGTTGATGGGATTCGTTCGGAGATGTGGTACTCTAAAAACGAGATAATGCATACTCGACTCACAGCCTTTTTTATAAACACCTTTGCATATTATGTAAATTTATATTACGAGATGATAGTTTTGATTAAGTTTATAGTAGCAGAAAGTTTCCTATGATGTAGAACTCATAAAACGAACACGCCATTTTAATAACATATTATGTTTTGATATGAATAATTTACTCAACGTCAAGCCTAAGACCCTTGGACCTAGAAAGCTAAAATTTTGCTGAGAAGTTTCTTTATGATGAATACTTGGAATGAAGAAAAACTTCATACAAGTGAATTCTACAAAGTCACTTGTGAAACGACGGTGATTTTTATAACCAAAAAACTAAGTATACATTATACCATTACGCATCTATCCATTAGAAATGTTCTATTAAAGTTACGTCTCAGTATCAACTGTCTTAATTCTCACTGGACCCAATTCTGAATATTAGTGTTATTTTTTGGATAAGGAATGCTTTTAATATAAAAAACTAGCAAACCCCGCGAACTCCGTTTCGCCACCAGATGGCTTCGTTTTATGTAACATTTCGTTTGGTGATTAAAAGAAGTTTTTTTTTTTAATTTTCCTGAATTTTCTTTGCTATAAACCTCACGGAGCCCGAGACCTTTCCAACAAATGCAAAACCGTGGAAATCGGTTCGTGCGTTCTGGAGTTATAGCGTCAGGAAGGAAAACCCGACTTATTTTTATATAGTAGATAATAAGCTTCCAGCACCTTTTCCTCCGCCCTTTTTTACTAAATACCGCCGCATATTTTTGAATGATATAAAATACCTTATTGGTAAATTAAAGTCAGATAATAATTCTATAGTAATAGGTAAGTATATGGTAAAAAATTAAATAAGAAAATTTTTAGCGTCGGCAAAAGTTAAGCTCCACGGATCAAACTTACATAATTCATATTAAAACAGGAATTTCTCAACTACGTCATAACAAGTTATATTTTTCTTAATTAGGTATTTTTGCTTAATGTCCGCTTTTAATTTAAATGGTCGCACGTAACTTCTATATTAACTTGTTATTAAGAAACATGACGACAAAAGTGAAGAATTCTGGCATTCATAAATTAACGAATGTCACGTAGTGCACTAACAACATTTTTAACTTTCACTTAAGCGGTAATTTTAAATAAAAATAATACGCGGCCTCCAAAAGAAAGCAAACAAATCAAGTTCGCAACATACGAGACGTTTTCTCTTTCGCGTATGCAAATGTTACATCGATGAATTAACAAAACTCAGGAAAACCAGTCCGCCAAGCCGGTCATCTTCTGAAAAAGGTGAGAAGCATACCTGCCGGCACGGTAATTATTAAAACGTAATTATTTTTTAAGTCGCGACCTAGAATCTGCGAGTGCAGTAAACGCGCCAACGCTCCCGAGACCGTTAGCATATTGAATTACAAATATGTGAGGCGCGGACAGAAGCCGACCGCGGAGGAGGGCCGCGCAAGCCTTCATCTAATCGGTCGGTGAACCGTTTGTTTACCGGAGCCGGTACAGCAGCGGCCGCAGCAGCCGGCTGTAGGTCAACGATGGTGGGAGGCGCGAGCGCCGCCGCAGCACCAGTCCGCAGCCAGCCACCAGCGCGTGCGCGTTCCTAGCAGACATGGGTCTTACCCCGTAAACGAATAACCGGTTCCAAAACAAAACGAAAGTGACCCATTTTCTACTGTTGTGAAACATAAATAATGACCATTTAACTGTGTTTTACGAAAAAATATTACGTGAGAGTGTTCAAGAAAAGTGACACATTTAAAGGATTATATATAATTGTCGAGCGGATGTCTCAAAACATGGTGAGCTATGAATATATTGTTTTTCTGCAGAATTACGAATGCAATTTATAGGCTCTATGTCCACAGCGAAAAGTGTAGCGCACAAAAGAAAATCTCGTTGCGTTCATTGCCCCACTTATAATGAAGACACGGATTGGAGATCAGTACGATATGAACAAGAAGTTATCTCCTACAATTTAGGTTTTGCATAATGCATATTTTTTAGAAGTACATACAATTTATACAAAAAAAATGTGGTCGCGTAAATAGTATATACCTATCATAGATGCACAAAAATATGATAGTCTCCAAATAATTAAAACATATCTTACATAGTAAAGATGGATGAGGTTTAATCAGGATTTTATTGAAATTTGATATCAGAATATTGATGCAAATGTTCGAGTTTTAATTTTCATTAAGAACTCAATAAGTTTATTCGCTATTATTATAAAGTTTCGCCAGCATTTAAAAAAATGTCCAGATTCAATAGCAGAGGGATGAATATCTATATTTCTATGATACCATAAATATTGTACAATATAGCATAGCAGAGCATAGCACCACAAATCCAAGTTATACGCACTTAATGCTAAATAAGCTTTATGTTTTACTATTCTCAAAATTGAGCTTTCGAAAATCAATTTTGACACGCAATAAGTTATTAATAGTGATGAAATATTTTATGCCTCAAGTATATTAAAATAAATAACCTACACGACTTTATTTAAGCTGACTTGTTAACCAATCGACCGGATAACGACACGAAACTGGCAATGTTTTAATGACTATTTGATACCAATAAATCAAGTGATCCAACTATCGGAAATACAAAAACTTTAGCTGATTATAATAAAAACGCATTAAATATAATGGATTGCTGTATATTCGCATGCCACGTGCATGCTTCCTCCGTATTCAAAAAATGACACAATTTCGCAAGTTATTACCACTTATCGTCCGTGTTGAGTTAGACACCATCGGTCCTTCTTATAGTTTCTTTGCGTATTTGTTTGCCAGCCGGTTTCTTGTATGCCCTCTTAATAATGTATTTGTTGAGGCGGCGACTGTGGGGCGTTCACCCTACGCCGAGGGTGGCTCAGACCGATCCACTCAATCTAGGCAAGTTCCGGAATCCAACTATGTTAATGGCACTCCTTGTTTACGTCCATTTGACCACACGTTTCTTGCGAAAGATTCTCAGATTGACAATGAATGAAAAATACATATATACCAATAAGATTATTAGACTTTGTTCTCTTTCGTAGTACGAGCTGAATTAGAAACATGCATTTCTTTAACTCTACAATTCATAAAATTACCAATTATTACTGATATCATCAAAGTCTTGTGATAAACACATCGGTATAATTTGGTAATACAGATGATAAAGTATCAGCAGCAATTATAGTCAGTTCAGAAAGCGCTGCAATGGGCAGTAAACAATGCTATTTTAATAAGGAGTACTTCAATTTCGCCTATCAAAAAGGCATTAGCTACTTCAATATGCTTTCCCATTTTCCCTTGTTACGTCAATAACAGCACTTACCTACCCGTCCGTATCGGTAAGTACATGTGTGATGGTGTTATTTGTTCTTTTTGTTCAACTTTGCCGAACATAGAAAGGCGCATAACATAGATTAAAAATATGATAAAGATACTTCTTTGTTTGTTTAATAGTATTTTTTCTGGAACGAATAGTTTTATTTCAGTGTAGCAGAACAGATTAACCCTAAATCACTTGAAAATAACGAGAATTACATCTGAAAATATAAACAAATAAAGCAACGAACAGAGGCTGAGATTTCAATTAAAAGTTAGTCAGGTGAAAATAGTAATGAGACCTTTTGTATGACACCACTATTCATCAGAAATGACCCGACCTCGTGTACGCCGTCGCTCGCCGTGCGGTAATCAAAGGACACTGTATACAGGTATACCTTGGGACTCCCGACCATGCCAACTTTCCGCACGGCAACGCAGTCGCTCGCTATCCATCGTCGCTCTAGTGAAATCTGCGAGTCAGTTAATTTCGCTTGTGCCCCTGCCGTTCCACAGAGCATGTTTTAATTGGTTTCGTGAATCGGGACCAGCGCTACACCTGTTCTCGAAATTATTAATTCACAAACTTCCGTTTCGTTTCTGAGCATGATATTCCCGTTTTGTATGTAAATTTTCTCATTCATAAACTAATGTAGCCGCCGCCGGTTGAATCGGGCCCGTAATGGTGTTTCGTAGCGGCGTCATAAATTCAGAATAACTCGGTGTAAAAGCTCTATTTATAAGTAATGTACGAGACAACATCACCCTCCCGAGTCTCGAGGGAGCCGCCCGGCGATCTTCCTAACTCCCAGTAAATACACCTCTCGACCACCATCATACATATTTGTTTATAAACGGTTGGCACCTTCTTGAAAATGTCGGTAATTTGGCACGTTTTGATGACAAAAGTTAATAACTTTCAGTATATGAAAAAAGGTTTGCAAGATTATATTAGTCCAAGGGCAGAAATTGCTCTAACGCATTTCTTTTGAGCTATAAATGCTTTATTAATGTCGGTATTGAGCTCATGTAGTCATGATATGCAGCTGTTGCAGTTTTGTCATTTGCGACTTTTCTCAACCTTTTAAGAGCATAAACAATAGATAAATTTATTGATTCTGGAGGTTAGTGCTTTTATTTGTGCTATTCCCGTACAGTGGCTGTCAAACACTAGGCCTAGGAATTTAGTTTCAGACACCTCCACAGCCTATATTCAAAGGTTATCTATTATTGTTATAATTATAAAATTGTACAATTTTAATTTTGACCAAATTTACTTTTAAATCATTATCTTTCTACCTTTAATTACAACATTTGTATATTTTTCGGTTTTGATGTCGGGTATTACAATAGAAATGCCATCAGCATCAATGTGCTTTGTTATATTAGGGATATAGTTACTGTAAAGAAGAAACAGTAGTGGACCTTATACACTTCCTTGTGGTGCACTTGATAAATTTAATTGATAAGACAATTTGAATGATTTATTAGTTTTTATTATAGTTTAGTATTACAAGAAAAATTGCAATTTCAACGATGTACTCTGTAGTAATGAAATGTAAATTTGTTAAATTGAGAATTTTATGAAGTAGTGGTAAGAAAAATTCCATAAGGTATTTTTTAAGCAATGTTAGTTACATTTTGTTAATCTTGAAAAAGGTGCCCTACGTGGAAATTTGTTGTCTTTTGCCAGTATCTAGAACCAGAATCTTCTTAAGTTGAATAAAGTATTGATCGGTTCCTGCTATATCAAACAACATTATTATGAAAGATTCCATATTAGAAGATTACTACTGTATAGAGATAGTTTTTAATGGCTAGTATTTAACTGCAAATCAAAAAATTGATATTTTGTATAAAAAATAATTCCCAATTCTAAGCAAAAATACTTATTGCACAGCAAATAAGTCAGCTCAAAATAGTTTTATATTAGTAACAATTTAAGTGCGTGATGTATCGCTATTTAATTAAAACTAAAGCTATGTTTTTATTTATTTGTAAGCATTTAACTGCTAGATGTTTAAATCTAAAGAAAAGTTTACTAGAAAAATATCCACGCGGACCTGGCAGCTTAAGGCTAGGAAAATTTCGACGCGGCCAATAGGGCCGTGGTAGCATAATGGTCAGTGCATTCGCCCGGATTGCGAAGGGTGCGGGTTCGAGTCCCGTCCGCTGCCTGGTCCGCGTGGATTTTTTTTCTAGTAAACTTTTCTTTAAATAAAAAACTAAAGCTTTTTTAAGAATGCATGCTAATAATAACCACCTCATAAATATATCACATCATTTTTTTTTAAACAAAGCTGCCATATTTTTATCTTATATAGCAGTTAACCTAAGTGAAACACCATTTTAATTGAACTAAGAATCTAATTATTGAAGTAAAACTTCTTTAGGCACGCTTGGCCTAGGGGGTGAACTGGCGAATTTGTTACGATTTCGCGTTACGATTAGTGTCATTGGTGACTCATCGGTAAACAATGAACAATACCCGTCACAAAATACATGAATCTAGTGCTTGGTGGGTGATAACGGACCCAGCACGGATTGGTGGGTGATAACGGACCCAATGCGGATTGGTGGATGATAACGGATCCAGCGCGGGTTGGTGGGTGATAACGGACCCAGTGCGGATTGGTGGGTGATAACAGACCCAGCGCGGATTGGTGAGTGATTATGGACCCAGCGCGAATTGATGGGTGATAATGGACCAAGTGCGGATTGGAGGGTAATAACGGACCCAGCGCGGTTTGGTGAGTGACAATGGACCCAGTGCGGATTGGTGGGTGATAACGGACCCAGCGCGGATTGGTGGGTGACAATGGATCCAGTTGCAGATTGGTGGGTGATAACGGACTCAGCGCGGATTGGTGGGTGATAATGGACCCAATGCGGATTGGAGGGTGATAACGGACCCAGTGCGGATTGGTAAGTGATAACGGACCCAGCGCGGATTGGTGGGTGATAATGAACCCAGTGCGGATTGGAGGGTGATAACGGACCCAGCGCGGATTGGTGTTTTTTTGGGAATGGGAAACCTGTTGCAAAAATAGTTATTTTGTTATGAGTGTGAGTATTTTGCGTCGAAGCCCTGGTTAATTTTCTATGCAATCGGTATATTTGCTGTGCAATCAGTATATTTGTTGTGCAATCAGTATATCTACTATATAAAAATAAGTCGGGTTTTCCTTCCTGACGCTATAACTCCAGAACGCACGAACCGATTTCCACGGTTTTGCATTCGTTGGAAAGGTCTCGGACTCCGTGAGGTTTATAGCAAAGAAAATTCAGGAAAAATTAAAAAAAAAACTTCTTTTAATCACCAAACGAAATGTTACATAAAACGAAGCCATCTGGTGGCGAAACGGTGTTCGCCGGGTTTGCTAGTTTGATATGAAAATCATATTTCTGTACAATTAAACAAGTTTTTTATTACTACAGATTAGATGTATATTTTTGAATTATTTTCAGCACTAGTTTTGTTCCACAAATGTTTTGTTTGCAGTTCAATAATTATATTGATGTAAAAAGTATTTAATTGCTGTAAATAACTTGATGGGTAATAAGTTATTTGCTGCATGTGCGATTAAAAATATCCCCAAAATATGTTGAGTTAGCTGCTTTTAATCCATTTAAGGTTGTGGCAAATAGAGCAGCGGCTGCGGTCATTTGTCTTAGTAGATTTTTTGTTACGGATTTTCACCAATAGCGCAAAGATCATCAGCCGTTGATGGACAAAAAGCCTAAATGTAAAAGCAGAGACAATGGGAAGTAACTGTGACTGATTGAAAGACGCGTTCCGTGAGACGGGCATTGTTTGGCCTACACGATCATCTACATACATCTATGTAGACATTCAACATTCGTGAGGCGGATTTACGATGTGTGATCTCTTTTAAAGCTGATTGACGTCTTAAGAGAAGATGTGAGCATGTTTACCTTAATGTACGACAATTTAAAACGATTTCTGTGTGGACTCCTAGCCACTATTGGAAGCAGAATGACTAAGAGTGTCTTAAAGAAGTGCGTAACGTGAGAAGTGTATTGTTTAATCCACATTGAGCTTTGGTCACTCTACCTACCTACATAAAGCGGCCCACTAACCACATGTAGGTTAATGTTAGATACAGCTTTGAATTCTGGGACATGGAAAAAACTCGGCAAAAAGTTCTAATAAAAATATTATCGTTAATCACAATGACTAACAATAATACTGTAAAGTTTCGTGTAAAGAATGAGTTACCAAAAATTCTGTACTGTAGTGTTGTATACATACAGTGAGTCAGGCTGTTAGAGTAATAAGGTTCATACCAGCAGGGTACCACGACGTACCAGATCTTCGGATCTAGATTTCACTCCGATAAGAAAAACAACAAAATCTGCAGAAGAACATTATTTTGCGTTTTTTTTCCATTCACATAAAAGTAATTGACTTATACAGGGGTATCTGGGTGGTTGATATTCGATTATAGTACCTCTTATTAAGAAGTTTATGTTTACCCTTGTTTTTAAACAAACTTCTTTTTTAATGTGCTAAAAGCAATAAAGTTTACTTTCCTCAAAACTTTAAGTATCAACTTATAAAGTCAATAAGTACGCAATTTATATTATTTAAAAGCTTATCGTGAGATTTAACAAGAAAGGTACTGATAATTACTTAGTTTTTTTATAAAATCATAAAGTTATTTAACTTACTTGATCGGCTACACGGATAAATCTCACGATCACTCTACAAATGAATTGCATTTATAATCACAACCAGAAGACAATGCAAATATTTAGTTATTAAATAAATAGCTGTGAGCATTTTGTCTCGTGTAACAGAGAGAGTCACTTAGATAAATGATATAACTTCAGGATACGAAAAGGAAATAACTCCTGATTTGATCGCCAAATGAAGTTAGTGAGCGAGATTTCCTGATTCTTACCGGACTTAAGTTCAATAGCCGTAAAAGAGTAGCATAAAATATCTATCTGGAAGAAGTAGCATCTAGAGACTAACTCAATTTGTATGGAATCCAGTGTGAAGACAACTTGTATGATACTGTAACCTTGGCAGCGTGAACCATATTTCCTAAAATAAATAAATAAATTCTACTGGCGATCCAATTTATTCAGATAATAAAGTTCAATAGACAAGCAAAACATTATAGAAAGAAACGTTCGCACTCAAAGCATATAGGTAACAAAAGTTCAAGAGACATGCAAAACATTATAGGAAGTTCTTGCTCAAAGCTTATCATAAAAAGGTTGTTTACGACACATTGCCACGGACACATTGTTCAAGAACATAATTTATGTCTCGACTCATGACATTCAAGGCTATAAGTAGCTATGTAGTTTCACACAGGCACAGCACATTAACAGCTACTCGATCTAATTAAAACCAAATTGCACCCATTTGTAAGTTTTCACTTTCGTTGAGCAATTTCACGAGCTCTAATGACATCCTGCTGGCTGTGTGACATTGGAAATTTCGGTTCAGTTTCTTACAGATAAGTGCCCCGAAGATACGCTTCTAAAA